GCCTGAAAAAGATATCTCAAACGTGGTGGTCCAGTGTAGGTAGTATTCTACAATAAGCTGCCGTGGTTTGTGTCTGAACTGCCTGAAAAAGATATCTCAAATGTGGTGGTCCAGTGTATAGGTAGTATTCTACAATAAGCTGCCGTGGTTTGTGTCTGAACTATACCTGAAAAAGATATCTCAAATGTGGTGGTCCAGTGTATAGGTAGTATTCTACAATAAGTTGTCGTGGTTTGTGTCTGAACTGCCTGAAAAAGATATCTCAAATGTGGTGGTCCAGTGTATAGGTAGTATTCTACAATAAGCTGTCGTGGTTTGTGTCTGAACTGCCTGAAAAAGATATCTCAAATGTGGTGGTCCAGTGTATAGGTAGTATTCTACAATAAGCTGCCGTGGTTTGTGTCTGAACTACCTGAAAAAGATATCTCAAACTTGGTGGTCCAGTGTAGGTAGTATATTCTACAATAAGCTGCCGTGGTTTGTGTCAGAACTATACCTGAAAAAGATATCTCAAACGTGGAAAAGCCGGCGGATTACAAAACTTTGACGTTCAGAGGAAAGACAAGGCCTTCATGAGGAAGTTGGTTGCCAACTACTATATATATAATCTCCTGATGAAGCTGTTTACACGGATTTTTTAAATTTTTTTGCCGTTTACTTCTTTCTGCCTTCGATAACCAACTCAAATCGAACTTAATTGTGTTTACTTTAGCAAGCAGCGCTGTTCCTTTATTGATAAACTACGTATTACAAAATATTTACTTTACGAGGGTTGCTAAACCGCAGTCTGCGCTTCAAATGCGGAACTGAGCATATAGTTTAAATACGTTTTATATACCAACTGTATATTCCATATTATAATGGATTTCTCTCTCGCTAGAAATGTGTTTGGTATCCTAATCTGTTATGGCATTCTTTGGATGAGTGGTGAAATTATTACAGTCGAAGGTAGGCAAAGAAATATTTCTGCGTGGTGTTGATTTCTATAGCATCGATACATTCAGGTCTTCGAATTTGACAAACAAATTTCAACTTGAAGTATCTTAAGAATAAATTACCATTCGAAGAGGACTTCTGATCATGCATAATCCTTTGGATCCTTTGAAATTTTACTTATTAATATTTCAACAGCACAGTTGAGTGACCAGCGAGATTTCTTGCGACGTAAGTTTATTGGCATCAACTTTAGACGAGTTTTTAGACCATATACTGATTGAATATGTTTATAGGGTGCTTAAAAAAATATTTAATTAAAAATACTTCGCCGTCTTGTGCGAAGACTCGTTAGAGATCTTACAATTTTAGGACGGCAATGCGACGGCAACGGCTGCCAATACAATAGACATTTGAAAAGAATCGAGTAATTACAATATATGAATAATTTAGACATTGCCTCGCTCTGTTTACAACGCTAAATCGCAGATTTTCACGTCTTGATACATGCACCGGCTGCATTCCAAGCCACACTAGTGCAACTTCAAACTGGGTTTAGCAGAACTCTTCCCAACCATAAAACCCATGTCTTCAACTTCTAAAACTGTATTCAATTCATACGATTGATAATATACGACGAACTATCTTTACTACCATTTATTTGAAGGAATTTGTTTTGGCCGTCGTCGTCGTTTTTGAAAGTTAATAAAACAGCCAATGAGAGCAAATTTTGAAAGATATGTAGACCAAATAACTCAAAATGTTATAGCGCTTTTAAATATTTGGAAAATTTAAACTAGGATCAAAGTTACCGGTCAGTGAAAATCGAAAATTCGCGTCGCGTTGTCGAATCGCGTCCGGTGTGTCTGGCGGGACCTTCAGGGAGGTAATTATAACGCGTAGGCCCGTTTACACTTGCAATTTTAAATACGATCTTCTTTTGATGAATGTGAATGAGTGGATGAGTTATGAATGTTCAGATGAGGGTATATCAACTCAAAACATTCGTAACTCGTCTACTCGTTCACATACATCAGAAGACGAAATGCGCACTAGAAATCGCCGATGAAAATAGAAGATGAAAATCGCATCAGAAAATGCAGTAAACATTGTAAACGAGCCTTGAGAGAAGGCCTTCTATCGAAACGTCAGATGTTTTCAATTTTAGCTGGAAATTTTAATCCGGCTGACTTTGGAGTATCGGTGCGTGTTACAACACGAATTCTTGGTTTGCACTTGATGGTATCAAGGCGGCCATTTTGAAGGGACGCTATTTCACAAGTTTAAATATGTGCTCTTCAATGCAGTTGATGAGAATTACAACTCTAGTTCTCGTTTGACCGGGGCACGAGAGTCGAGAAGACTCTCATGCAAACTCTCGCTTCTTAACTGTCATCAACTCTTATGCGACGCCTCTTGTTCTCGTTTGACCAGGGCACGAGCGTCGACAAGACTCTCATGCAAATTCTCGCTTCTCAACTCTCATCAACTCTCATGCGACTCTTGTTCTCGTTTGACCGGGGCACGAGAGTTGAGAAAACTCTCATGCAAACTCTCGTTTCTCAACTCTCATCAACTTTCATGCAACTCTTGTTCTCGTTTGACCGGGGCACAAGAGTTGAGAAAACTCTCATGCAAACTCTCCGCGCTTCTCAACTCTCGTCAACTTTCATGCAACTCTTGTTCTCGTTTGACCGGGGCACGAGAGTCGAGAAGACTCTCATACAAACTCTCGTTTCTCAATTCTTATCAACTCTCATGCGACTCTTGTTCTCGTTTGACCGGGGCATGAGAGTCGAGAAGACACTCATGCAAACTCTCGCTTGACAACTCTCTTATGTGTAGACCATTTTTTGTTCAGGTGGCAGATTTCATGGGATACGATTCACAGTTCAACCAGACGATATTATAGCCCCACCTGGTTCAACTGTCGAACTAAAATGTAATGCACGGTACATACCGGAAAAACTTAACTTTGGATGGATTCTTAACGATTCTGAACTGGTTCTGTCAAATGTGGTTCCACGAAAAACATTTGTGTATGATCTTTCTCCAAGTAATGGCAATTTGAGAATTGATAATATCAGTGGCGAGGCATATGGGGTGTACCAATGTGTGGCCAGGTATTCTGGCGGGACGATTATCAGCAGGAAGGCACATGTTACGATGCCATGTAAGTACATTTATAACTGTGAGTTATGTCCTATGTAAAACACGAGCAAGAATGCTTTACCAGACATAAAACAGCAGGCGACAGCCGAGTGTTTTATATCTGATAAAGCCTTGACTGTGAGTGTCTTAAAATTTAAATGCCTTCAAAAACTACCCATCTTATGAGTTCATTGGTGAAGTAATTTTTTAAAAATCAACGTTGTCTAAGCCGAGAAAATCAAGGCTAAAGTTTATGTAAATGAACATGATTTTTTTATCACATATAAAACCACTGACACGGCAGTGATTTCCTTTGTCTTTTCTTTATGACTTATTAATGAGTTTTTTTAATGGTATTTATTTGTTTGATAGTTAAGTTCTATCAGTTCTAAACTGTTTGCCCTTGAGGCTCAGTAAGGATCATCTCTTATTGGCATCCAGTATTCACTACAGGAGGAAACTTGTACTAAACTAACTTTATTTATACTGGATAGCTCCATCTGTCCATCAGTTCTAAACTGTTCTTCCTAGAGCTCCAGTAAGGTCTATCCCTTATTGATCCAGTGTTACTGCAGGAGGAAACCTAAATAGTAATCTAACTTTATTTATACTAGATAGCTCTATCAATTCTAAACTAGTCCAATAAGAGTCAGGCACTGACATTTATCCCGTTCTTAACAAAAACATTTAATTTAATCTCGCAGATTTGTACAAGATAAATAATCAACCCGCAACAGATATCATTTGTAACGAAACATATCCATGTGTACTCAAACCTCATAGCGTAATCAGTTTTCCTGAACCAAGCTTCGCATGGGAATACCGTAGAAATAGCAACGAAACTTTCTCTGAGATTGAGAAACTGCATGGCGGATCAGCTATGTTTCCTGTGTCTCTTGAAGGTCATTTGTGTATTCTTGGTGTAACTCGAGGTGACCAAGGGCAGTATCGATGTAGGATTAATAATACTGCTGGAATTGTGTATGAGGTTTATAATGTTACCATAGGTAAGAAGAGATGAGTTTTATGATGGATTAATATGGGAACCTACAATCAGTGACATTGAAAGGTGGGACACTTAGATTGGAAGGTTATTGTTTTAAGCAATTGCAAAAGTAACTTGCAACCCCCCCCCCCCCCCTTCCTTAGAACATGATCACACCCACTCGGCCAATCAGAACACAGTATTTCAGTGGTCTATATCCCATAGTATATTAATTCGTCAAGTGGTATGGGCTTTGAAGCACTCTTCTATATAGAGCATACTAATGAGTCTATTGTTTTCTTTTGTTTTGTAGCTTCATTAGTATGCTCTATATAGAGCGTACCAGTGACCACATAGAGCATACTAATGAGTTACATTTGAAGGCATCAAAGACAAATTGTTTACTGCAAAAAATTTTATTTAATATAAAGCTCAAAAATACAGCTGTATCTTCACACAATCCTTACACAAATACAAACACACACAAATACACACACACACACACACACACACACACACTCAACACTCCCATGCATGCACACACGCAAGTCCGAGATATAACAAATGAGTATCGTTCAGTAACCAGTATAGTGCCTGACGACGAGAACAGTTCTTCGTCTGCTAACGTTAAAGGATCTGTCTGTCACATTTTTCGTCGTGCTAATGGCAGCATTTGTCATTTTTTTCATCTTTGAATCCAAAGCTCTAAATGATGAAAAATTGGCGTCGTTCTTTGCCAGGATGTTCAAATGAAACCTCATATATAAGATCGTCTTTGAAATGTTTGAATAACCCGCAGTAACAATGTTACATAAACTGTTCGCTGGGTATGACGGTTATGGCTTGCCACTTCTCCTATAGCTTCCAAAAACAAATCTTGTTAACCAATAGTCCAGAAAGCAAGAAATCTTGTGTCGCATTAATCGCTACAAGTTGCTTCGCTGCGACAGCCCCGTCCATGCTTTCGAAAAACGCCTATGCCAATTACTGACATATTAATGAACCCTAAAACCGAACAATCAAACGCTGAAAACCAAACAAAGACCAAACATTGTAGTTAAAATCCCTTCGGCAAAATAAACTAATGCCCGATCGAAAAAACCTACTTCATCATAATTAAAAAGGAACAATACTAATTATTTGTTAACAATACACCTAATTAAAACAGACATTCCTCGTGGGGGTGATCATGTTCTAAGTCGGATAGACAATGATCACTTGTGTTCAGTGGGATTATAGAATCCCTCGAATTAGTTAGACTGCCACTCGGGCCTTCGGCCCTCGTGGCCGTCTAACTAATTCTCGGGAGTCTATATCCCACTGAACACACGTGATCATTGTCTATCCTATACTTATTTCAATGTTGCTGTTTGTGCTGAGAGAGTTATTAGACAGATTTAGATCGAGGACGCGGACGTCAAAGACGACGTGAAAATGGCGTGTTGTGCCCATGTATGGATATGCCACGCCATTTTGACGCCATTTTTACGTCGTCTTTGACGTCCGCGTCCTCGATCTAAATCTGTCTAATTAGTAACGTAATACAACACAAAACTACTTAAAATAAATTTTAATTTTAGTCTAACAACATTGAACGGGGGGAGGGAGATTATGTTACAATCTCAGCCTAACAGGTCCACGTATTTTGTCACTGATTGTAGGTCAAAGCTAGACCGACAGTTTGATTGAATATGACACTGCTGTGCACCAGGCTTTTACAGAATAAACACCATCATTCTTACTTCCACTATCATAATTTTCACACCATCATTATCACCACCATCAGCATCTTTACCATCACCACTATTATCATCACCATCATTATCATCACCATCATTATCATCATCTAGCGTATCCCTAAAAATTGTTCCTTTTGGAATATCACAATAGTAGAAAGTTTCGCATGATTTACGATTTCTGCGCAAGGCATTTCGATTGGGTAGAAGCACAAGGGTGTGTACATGTTCATTCAAGGGGAATCCCCATTAAAATTACATACTGCAGCATAACAATAGCGATTTATTTTGCCAAGGTTTATGCATATGTTTAAATCCCAAACTCGGAACACATGTAAATTATGTTAGTTGTACCTATTTTTAAAAGGAACAACAATCGCAAAGGAACAAATTGTTCCTACTTGAATTGAGTTGTTCCGTTCGCTTTATGTTCCACAAATCGGAACGGTTTAAAAAGGAATTGAATTAGGAACCCTTAATTCGTTCCTTTTCATGGTCCTTTGTTGAGGACCAAAATGTTCCGCGAAGCGGAACATCAATACATAATAGCGTTTATTTCCTGTTATTGTTCTCCCTTATGCGCATTTCGTTCCCTTTTATTGTTCCCTTTTATTGTTCCCTTTTATTGTTCCCTTTTATTGTTCCCTTTTATTGTTCCCTTTTATTGTTCCCTTTTATTGTTCCCTTTTATTGTTCCCTTTTATTGTTCCCTTTTATTGTTCCCTTTTATTGTTCCCTTTGAAAACAAACATTGCTGCTATTTAAAATATGGCGTTTATTTTGTAAAAACCTAATATATTGCAATTGAGAGTATTAATGTGGCATCTACCTATACAAAGTTGACAAAAAGCCTATAACAAATAAGAAGCTATTAACAAGCTAAATGATTATAAGTTGTATAGTATATTTAATGAAATGCTTTGCCAAATTAAATTGATGCACTTTGCATACTAATGCTTATCGTGTTGACTATAAAAACCAAAGTCTTTATCGCTAAGCATTTGTTCAAGTTTGATGTTTGCACGCAAAAAAGCTGGAATAGATTGGAAGTTAGTAGACGGTGCATTTACGAAACAGAGACGATTGCATTTGGTGAAAGGCAGCGATGGGCTAGACCATTGTCCAATAACAGGTTGCGAGCATCCAGGATTTTCTAGTCAAAGAGGTTGTCGTAAACATGTGAAAATAAAACACGGTTGGTATTACTATTTTGACGAGAAACCGAACGTATCCATCGACACTTTGGTCACTTCGCAGTCTGCGCTGAATGGAATTGATGCCTATAACAAATAAGAAGCTATTAACAAGCTAAATGATTATAAGTTGTATAGTATATTTAATGAAATGCTTTGCCAAATTAAATTGATGCACTTTGCATACTAATGCTTATCGTGTTGACTATAAAAACCAAAGTCTTTATCGCTAAGCATTTGTTCAAGTTTGATGTTTGCACGCAAAAAAGCTGAAATAGATTGGAAGTTAGTAGACGGTGCATTTACGAAACAGAGACGATTGCATTTGGTGAAAGGCAGCGATGGGCTAGACCATTGTCCAATAACAGGTTGCGAGCATCCAGGATTTTCTAGTCAAAGAGGTTGTCGTAAACATGTGAAAATAAAATACGGTTGGTATTACTATTTTGACGAGAAACCGAACGTATCCATCGACACTTTGGTCACTTCGCAGTCTGCGCTGAATGGAATTGATGAAAAAGGTTCCAAAACAATTCCTAGCTGCTCTACAGATAATGATTTCGCACGTTCGTTTTCGCAGTGGCTTCAAAGTAGCTGTGGGGGAGGGAAATCTCGTAAACAATCAGACATTTCTGTCACGAGAGCTTTAAGTTTGTCAAGTTTTGCTGCGACGAGAGTGGCGACGCCGAACAAGACGTGTTAAGTTCTCCAAATTTGATCGATTACGTGTTGGGATCTCCACAACTCTTGACAAAATTCGTCGACTGTCTGAAGGACAAATGGTGTATTGGTCAATCGGGACGGATAGCGTACGTTGGAAGCATATCAGATTTGCTGGACTTTCGTAAATTCAATCGTCCACCTGCATCAGTTCTTCAAAACTTTGCTGTTACCGAGGTTTATGTAAAGAGAGCGCGAAAGTGCTTAGCAAAGGACATGAGATCAAATTGGACAACCGAATTAGACGTAGAAACCCTAGAATCGCGTAGAAGTTGGGCAACACTTTCCGAAGTTCAATCAGTAATTCCATTCCACATGGAACGTTATGAATCAGTGTTAGAAAACTGTATGACACATCCTGCTTCAGTCAGGCCGGGCGACGTAACCTTTGCAACGCGATTCGTTGCAGCTTATTTGTTCCTGAAAGTCAAAGGTTGTCGCCCAATGACATACCAACATCTCACTTTGCGAATGTTTGAAAGTGCAAGAAGGAACGAGGGAATGGTTGATCAGAAGATTTTCAAAACAGCCAAAAGGTACGGTTTTGATAGTGTATATTTGGACGTATCCAGCATTGAATTATTAGAAAAATATATAACCTACATCAGACCCCTTCTCACACCCACTTGCGAGTATGTTTTGGTAAATCGAAATGGTAACCAATTTCAAAAACTCACAGATCTTCTGAGTGTTTTAGTGTTCGAGGCGATAGGAAAATACATTCACCCGACCAGGTACAGACAAATCATCGAGACCGAAAGTTCCCAGGTTCTTCTGCCAAACGAACAGAAATGGATATCCGAAGACCAAAAGCACAGCTCAAACGTTGCCCGTGTGCACTATCAAAAGAAACGTTCACGAGAAGTAGCGATAAGAGGACGCTGGTGCATGCAAAAATTAGTTGACGAGAGTAAGAACATGGAGAGTGACCACGAAAAGATTGACCAGTCATCACGTGGACAAGACGATGTTCGCAAAGACAGTCCAACGAAACCCATGGAGACAGTCCCACGGCGTTCAGGTGTTCGTTTTACGATTGAAGAGGATAAGTACATTAGAGTTGGCATTGAAAAATTTGGTTTGCGTTGGTCAAAGATACTGCGTCATCCGGAATTCCATTTCAATCCATGTCGTGTTGCAAATACTTTGAGGAAGAGAGCTGAAGTTTTAAAATTAGTTTGATTATGAACAATTAGTTTGCAAATAATAAAAATAAACGTGAATTGCATGATTTGTTGACAATTAAGTGTGAAAGGGTTTTCGCGCATATTTAATCTACGTAATAATAAAACTTCAAATATTTGCGACATTGTTAATATCTGCATTCTGATTGTTATAATTTGGTATATATAGACTCTCCGTTAGCCAAACATGTAGGTACAAATGTGAAATCTGAAAGATAAATATGTAATTAATTATATAAAAATGTGGCTTTTCCCGGTAGTGTCCAATTATTTTTGTTTCTAATGTGTATTTAAATAAGTGTCTACTCAATGAAGCTATCTGTAGGATTGATCAAGGGGCCAAGGCTCATACGACACTTAGAAAAAAACTTCACCCTGCTCGTTTTATAGTTAGCCGGTCTTGAATTTTTTCTAAGTGTCGAATGAATTTTGTTTTCCAACATTTCGACCGGCTACCGGCTAGCAATACAAATGTATATTAAAACGACCGGCTAAGGACCGGCTAACAACTAAAATGACCGGCTAACTCATAAAACTAGCCGGCTGAAGTTTTTTTTCTAAGTGTATTGCTAGCCGGTAGCCGGTCGAAATGTTGCAAAAAAAAATTCATTCGACACTTAGAAAAAATCCAAGACCGGCTAACTCATAAAACTAGCCGGTTGCTGTTTTTTTTCTAAGTGTCGCATGACACTTAGAAAAAAAGCTTCAGCCGGCTAGTTTTATGAGTTAGCCGGTCATTTTAGTTGTTAGCCGGTCCTTAGCCGGTCGTTTTAATATACATTTGTATTGCTAGCCGGTAGCCGGTGGAAATGTTGCAAAACAAAATTCATTCGACACTTAGAAAAAATCCAAGACCGGCTAACTATAAAACTAGCCGGTTGCTGTTTTTTTTTCTAAGTGTCGCATGACACTTAGAAAAAAAACTTCAGCCGGCTAGTTTTATGAGTTAGCCGGTCATTTCAGTTGTTAGCCGGTCCTTAGCCGGTCGTTTTAATATACATTTGTATTGCTAGCCGGTAGCCGGTGGAAATGTTGCAAAACAAAATTCATTCGACACTTAGAAAAAATCCAAGACCGGCTAACTTATAAAACTAGCCGGTTGCTGTTTTTTTTCTAAGTGTCGCATGACACTTAGAAAAAAATCTTCAGCCGGCTAGTTTTACGAGTTAGCCGGTCATTTCAGTTGTTAGCCGGTCCTTAGCCGGTCGAATTTACTGGGATTTCTATTGTTAGCCGGTAGCCGGTGGAAATGTTGCAAAACAAAATTCATTCGACACTTAGAAAAAATCCAAGACCGGCTAACTATAAAACTAGCCGGTTGCTGTTTTTTTTCTAAGTGTCGCATGACACTTAGAAAAAAAACAGCAGCCGGCTAGTTTTATGAGTTAGCCGGTCATTTCGGAAAAAAATTGCACTTGCCTACTTTAATTAATATACACATTAGTAAAAAGAGAATTGGATTGTATATATCGAAGAAAAGAACGCATATATTTTTATAACTTCGCGCATATTTATCTTTTGGATTTCACTCTTACAACTGTTTGCCCATCGAAGAGCATACAAAATTTTACACTCGAAATGGAGATATTATAAATATTTTACAAATATATGGTATTATTAAGCAGATTAAATTATGTGCTTTAAATCCTTTCACACTTCTAATCGAACGTGCACCGTCCATAAATGAAGTATTTCTAATTGTAACTTTGATGTTTATTGCCTGAAACTTTCATGTTGGTTCAAAGTCAATGTCACAGCAAGTAAACATGAAAGTTACAATTACAAAACAAGCATGTAATTAACATTAACAAATCATGCAACGTTCATTTGCATAGTAATGGTTCATAATCACACTGTTCGTTTCGTTCAACAAACCTAGGTGGATTCGCTCTCGACGATTTGTCTGTACCTAGTCCGGTGAATGTTCATCATAAAAATTATGTTATTTTAACATTGACTTAAATAAATTGCGTTATACAAAACGCTGTCAAAAATGTAATAAACTGATACAATGGCTTCTATTATATGTTTTGTCTAATGCGCCATTGTTTTCAATTATCAAACTGTCAGTCGCTAATATATTGCGACAAACACACATATATATATATATATGTACCATAATAGGTATTTCCAAAACTCATTAATAATTCATGAAGGATTAGGCCCCAGTTACACGATACTGGATTCGCATCGGAGCGAAATCGAATTTTACTGCTTCGAGGTGAATTTGGCACTTAAAATTATGATAATATAACATTACTAAACAAAAACTTTCAAATATGAAAAGTTGTAAGAGCAGACAAGACTGGAAAACACATTAAATTGATGTCGCTCCGATACGAATCCGGTATCGTATAACTGGGGACTTGATGTAGCACCTTGCCATTCCACCTGAAAATTTGATGAGGAATAACGCAAGTGATATCACTCAACTATCCTATCAGCAATGTATAATAATAGTATAATTACTTCTACCAGTAATGCTTCAGAAGTGTATGTAATGTATCAATATATATATAAGTCACCAATGATTTAACGCCACCATTTTTTAATAGTGGTCCAAAACGTTTGGGAGGACAGTTGAGGAGCGTCATCTGTTCGTTGCTCATCAGGATTTTCTCTTTTCCTCAACGCTTCAACCACAGGACAACGACTTGTTAAAACCCTCACGTTCAAAGTTTTTCTCAGTTGTTCCAGGTGGGGAACGATGTCTGGATGTTGCTCCACGAACGTGTCTAGGTTGAACACTTCTCGGAGTCTGCCTGTTGCCAGCATCCACGCGTCGATTTCGGGATCGGGTTTCGTCCAGAATGCGATTTCGTGGAAATCGCGTTTCAATTTCGCCTGCCGCCAACGTTCAAGAAATGAATGAACATGACCCTTCTGGAGATTTTTATAGAATTGGTATTTGATGAGATTGGCAACCTTCGTCATGTATGTTATACTGTTTAATTGCCAACGTTCTGGAGTGTCGTCAGGTGGTTGGGACCCTTCATGAGATGTTGATGGTTGCTGGTTTATGATTGTTGCCGGAGGTTGGATTGGTGGATCGGCTGTTTCTGTGCTCACGTCAGCAACTGGTGCCATTGGAAGATCTTGTGGTGCTCGTGTTGATGGTTGCTCTGTTGGAGAAATTGGGAGTGCAGCGGTGGTGTTCTCATTCTCGTTGGATGCCTCGACTGGTTGGACTTCGGATATTTGATGTTGGATTGGAGAAGTTGGGATTGCAGCGGGGTTGTTCTCATTCTCGTCGGATGCCTCGACTGGTTGGACTTCGGATATTTGATGCTCTATTTCAGAACTTGGGAGTGCAGCGGTGGTGTTGTCATTTTCGCTAGATGGTTGGACTGCTTCGATTTGAGATACTTGCAGATCTTTAGGTGATGGTGTTGATGCCTCAGCCATGTTCTCAATATCCTGGTCAACTAACTCAACATTGGAAAGCGAGTCATCGTCAGAGGAAGTGTCTCCCACGAACAATTGGCGGCTACGCTGACGTTTTCTAGCCAGACGTCTGCTTTTAAATTCAGCTACGAACCCAGGATGTATTACGGTTTCGTCATTCGGTTCTCTGTTGGGATTTTGTGCAGGCTCAAGATCTGCCTCGGTAATTTGGACGATGTCGCTCCTTGTCCACTGAGCATCGGAAATGAGCGAAGGTACGAGACTGCTGTGGCTGCTACACTCTTCGTACCACAGCTCTTCTGGAGCGATCAGACTTCGATTTCGATTTATCTGGTCAGCAATCCACGAGATGCAGTGCATTGAATTGTCGAATAGCCATTTGTCAATTCCAAACATTGTTGCGGGAAGGGACGAGGTTTGGTAAATTTGAATCCTTCGCCGCACGTTGTCGTCTTCAGCTCCGAAATCGGGGACGCTGTTCGTTGTTATGTAGAATGGGCTGAAGGAGTTCACACATCTCGGTTGACCATGCTTGACGGCAGTTACCATCCAGCCACCTTGCAGGATCGTCTTCGCAAGTTCAGAATTCATCCTGGTTCCACACCATTCGTCTATGATAACTAGTTGCGTGTCATCGTTGATCATGGATGCCGAAAATTGCCGCTCGTTGGTGATCGAAGCAATATATTCCGGGGGGATTATTCGGTGAAAGATATTCGCCCACGAGGTCTTGCCTGAATCTCGGGGTCCTGCCACTACCAATTTCCTTGACTTCTGTGGCATTTTGAATGCCAGTAGACACTGAAAGAATTTGTTGAGAAAATTCAAACGCACTTCGTTGTCGGGGAAGGAGTTGTACACACCTTCACGAAAGTACCGAGGTTCAGGTGTGGCGTAACAGTCGTAAGGAACGTAAGCTCGAGGCGACAGCTTGCCAATTCGCGATTCTCCAATGGGATTGTGTACGAAGCTTCGGAGGGAGATAACAAAGCAAAATCCGTTTGACACTTCTATGAGATTGAAATCGAATTTGATCTGTTCCACAATCTCGCATGCTGGGTGGGACAAAATTCTTTCGACAGTGCTGAAGTGTTTCAGGAGATCTTTGTTGATGGCTTGGTTCGCAAGGAGCTTGTTGAGATAACTTGAAATATCCATCAGTTTCACGTACGTCAGCTGGGCTCCATTTGGCTTGTAATAAATAATACCACGATACAAGGCGTGCTTAGACATTTCCATGACGCGTTCGATTTTTCGGATTGTGGATATGACGTCGTTTGAACATGTACCAGGTGCGACTGTCTCCAACTCTGTGTCCAACGTTGTTTCCACCACAAGACCGTCCGACTCGAGTTTTTTTATGGCGCTGTCGAATGCTTGCAGGAATCCACCGTGATTTACAATCACAAAGCAACAAGGAACGGTTGGAAAATGTTTCGGATGGAACTCCTCGTACTCTTCTTCATCTTCGCTTTCCGCTTCGCTTGATTCAACTGATGCGTTCCGATAGCAGTAGGTGTTGGAAACATCGATCATGTCCTGTATCGACTGATTGTTATGATCCTTTACCACTTGGAATAGCTGTCGAGCTGCCGTTTCCATTTCCTGGTTACCATGGTTTCTCACCCTGATAGGAGTTATTGTTGGTTCCACATCATGGTTGTGTAAGGCTGCGAAAAACGTGTTGTCGCTACACTTCTCGCTCGGCTCATAGACGACGAAGAAGGCGACGCAAGGGTACGTGTCGGTTTCTGCTTCTTGACTGTTCTGGTCACTTCTCGTTTGCTTCACGTTGGGATTTGAGCAGACGCTCGAAATGCACGAGAAGAAAAAAATTACTCCATCGATGGAATTGATGGCATCGTTTAGCAGCATCCTTTTAGAAGTGATCTGCAGCATCGCAAGTTCAACATCATCTTTGTGGACTCTCCACGTTGCGCGACACGCGACTGCTCGATGGTTTCGTTTAATCTAACAGACATAAAATAGCGAATGTTTATGCTTTATTTGAGAGTATAATTTATAATATATTCGTGTTGCGAAACATTTCTGTACACAAACAGTAAAAAGGTACAAACTTACCAAGCTCAAAATATTCGCTCGAAGCGAGTTTTGTAGTCGCTTAGAATCAAGTTCTTTCCGTGGCTTCGGTGGCATCTTGTCGAGTAATACGATATACAGTGCAGAGTTGTGGTGTTTGAAAAAAAAAAAACAAAAAACGCGCTTTTATATGTTCATATAATATTTCTTAAATTTGCAAAGCAAATGAACAGTTTTATTACTTCGGTCAACACCACCACTATCAACACCACCATCATCAACACCACCACCATCATCAACACCACCACCATCAACACCACCATCATCACCACCACCATCAACACCACCATCATCACCACCACCATCACCACCACCATCACCACCACCACCATCACCACCATCAACACCACCTTCATCACCACCACCATCACCACCACCATCATCACCACCACCATCACCACCATCAACACCACCTTCATCACCACCAACATCATTATCAACACCACCATTATTATCATCAACGGCAACATCCTCATCATCATCACCACCATCATCAACACCACCACTATCAACACCACCATCATCAACACCACCACCATCATCAACACCACCATCATCAACACCACCACCATCATCAACACCACCACCATCAACACCACCATCATCACCACCACCATCAACACCACCACCACCATCACCACCATCATCACCATCACCATCACCACCATCATCACCACCACCATCATCACCATCATCAACACCACCATCATCAACACCACCATCATCATCTGGTACCACCACTATAGTCACCACCATCATTATCATCACCAACATCCTCATCAACACCACCATCATCACCACTGCCATCACCACCACCACACCCATTGTCATGACCCCCCCACCCCCATCACCACCACTGCTAACACCAACTCATATACCAACAGGTGATACCAACAAAAGATAGACTAGAAGGACTGCAAGCATTTAAAGAAAAACGAAAACCAGTTTACCGAGGCGAATGAACAAAATTAGCAACACTGGTGAGTTAATGTTTTCCATGAAAAAAATGAACACTTTTATTGTCAAGCATATCTATCATGAGCCCCTGACTATAACACAATTGTTGAGCACTTCTTCTTCGGCAACCACACTCTGTGTCATATTCAACCACACTCTGTGTCATTCTATTCTATTCTGACCAGACTGTTGACCAAAAAAAATGACCAGAATCAAACATTTTTCACGCATACATAATGGTAGTGTACCAACAGTGTAACCACGCATATTATTTAGATAATATAAACCTTTTATATGTATAAACGATGTATAGTTCTATACACAGAACTGTATACTGACATGCTAATGTAATGTTTCGCTATATGAACAGTTCGGCTAATGCCTAATGGAATTTATACAAAATTGTTATGTAGAACGAGCAGAACGATTGTCTTTCGTTGTGAACAGAGAAATATATACATATGATATCCATGAAATACATTAATGATTATAAACACCGTATGTATAGGTTAGCCATGACCACTAATCCCCCTATTGAAAGACTGCACATTGACAAACTGGGCAACTCTGCAGTGGTGGTTTCGAACAATGAAGACCTGATTTACAGACAATTTTGATTTCAAACAAATTTGCAATAAGTTACGTAAAAAGGTTTTAACGACTGGCCCGGTCAAACGAGAATAAGAGTTGGGGACATTTCAAGCTCTAGAATATAAACAAAATAAAGGTTTGAAGAGTGTTCCAACTATGTTTTAACACAAATAGAATACATGATAGTGTTATAGGAAAGCATTAAGAACAGCTAACCAAGCTCGCGTGCATGACTGCCAACTCTCAACCTTGTTTCATCCGGGCTTTATTCAGTAATAAAGATAACGGTCAATACGATAACGGGCTACCCTGCACTCTATTGGGTTGATTGTCTTGTAATCACAGCCAGTTTTCTTTGTGTCATGACTTTTTTGATCTTCTCTCTCGTGTTCTTTGATACTCTTTAAAACTCTCGCTCTTTGGAGATGAATTTAAAATATTTTCTAACTTGCGAACTATTTCGTCTGCAATTAAAAAAGATCAGAGTGAATACTACAATAAATACATGTGTTTAGAGAATCACTTCAAGGTTCATTTATTGCCTCTCCTTAGGGAACTTGCTAAGAGCACGGACGCCAGATATGCGTAAAAACTACCTGAGACCTATGTCATTCTCGTACCCAGAGCCCTTCTTACGCGCGGTGCGACGAGGGGCTCTGGCCAAATCCATAACCGGATACCATAAAAACATGGTAAGAAAACAATATCCAGTGTTAGAACTAGCCAATCAGATGCCAGTTCGGAATATGGATTTGGCCAGAGCCCCTCGTCGCACCGCGCGTAAGAAGGGCTCTGGATACGAGAATGAGACCTATGTATGTAATTACTCTGCGTCCTAGTCCTACTGTGAATGAAACCCGTGCATCGCCATACCTGCAGTGGTCTGTAAGCATTCGAAGTCATAATTCTTGAAATCACGGTTCTCATTGGAATAAATAAGTCTAAACGTAGAACGGTTTCCACTTTTTCGTATTACTTCGGAATGTGCTACGTATTCCATTTCTATGTTCACCTAAGGACAAAAACACATTTAGTAAATATGTAGCACAGGTGTACTTAGTGGCTTAAACATGCATCACAGTGTTTAGCTTACACCGATCTTGCATGTATACAGGTAAAAACGCACAAGTTGTATCAAACCAGCAGTAGACTTGTGACAATGCTGTTACAAGAACTTGTCAACAGGATGTGTTCGCAGTTCGCACTGCTTAGTTCCCAGTTTGTTGACAAGTTGTCAACGACTTGTTGACAAGCTTGCTACAAGCCTGTTGCCTCATATAGTTTAATGGCGACTCACAGCTCGTGGTGATCTGTTCCAAAATGGTCGCTGACTTGATTGTGAATTTTGCGTAATTTCAATATACTTTGAATCAATTCCTAAGAGAAATAGGCATTTGCAATTATGGTTACGTGTTATATCAATGATTGATAAAACAACATGTATATCTTGTTCTTTACCTAAATGAACTTCGCTTTTCGCATGTAGAAAACCCTGGAGCATTGTGACTTTGAACACCTAAAGAAACAAATATGGAAAGATGGAAAAATAAGTTGTATACAAGGTAACAAATACATTTCTTGTGGAAAACTAAAAGACAGATCATTTGTCAGGGAACAGCACAAAGCCACACTTGTTATATAACTTAAGAAGGAACTCGATAGCATGAATATTTAAAGCGTGGTTGTAAAGCGTCTTTCTATAATATAAACGAAATTTATTTGATCGAAAGTTTACACTGCTGAAATTTCTCTAATATAAAGTATTCTTGAGTAAACATTTGAAGAAGAAAACTTCTACAGCCGTTTATTCTTCTTGGTGTGAAACAGAGGAAAAATATTTTCCTTACCTTCTCTAAATTTTTACAATTTTCTTTCTTGGGAAAACATTTTTTGGGAACTCAGAGAATTTTCTGGTACCCATGCATGGTCCGAGACTTTTTGCACCCAAGGTTGCTGTGAAGAATGAAAACAGAGTATTCCAAAGCATACCTTGTATTGTGGGAGGGTAAAATACTCTGCCTGATCAGGCATGATCTTGCCATTTTTCTCGTTAGATTCTTTTCTTGTTCCTAAATAAAAACAATGAACTTTGTCTACCATTAATTTCCAAATGAGTGAACCGTTGCACGAGAATACTGTTGAACAACTTACGGATATTTGTTCTCTTCACTAACTGAAATTCTGTCGTGTCCATTTTTTCCAACGTGTCGTCTAAATTAATGGCGTTCATTGGATCATTTTTCTTCACCAGTACATATTCATGGCCTGAAAATAGTGAAACACTTAATCAACATCTATTTTAACTGGATAGCATCGTCATACAGGTCGAAGTGGTCTTCCCAAGAGGTCCATCCATTTGTCAGTCCATTGGTGGTGTAGTCTGTAGTGTTTACTTTAACTTGACCAAGAGGAGACCTAGAAGAATTCTGTCATTTGCCTTGGATAGATGCTTTCAAAAGATTTTCTAGTTGGTGAAGATTTTCTCATTTCATTGCATGCAAATTGCAATAACTTCTTGAACTTGAACTGCTCGTCAACTGGCCTTTGTAGCTCAGTTGGTTAGAGCACTGCACCAGACCTAGTATTGCATTTTTCGTAACCGTTCCTGGTAATGTATGAAAAGTGTATATATAATGTCACTTGGATTATTCAATTTTCAACCAAGAGAAATGTAGAAAAAATCTTTTGTGTTTAACAATACCCGTTCTTTTTATGCCACGTTTCTTTAGCATTTTCTCTAAAACTGTTTTCATTTTTACATCATATCCTTCCACAGCAAATTTTGATGAGCCTCGCTTCTCTTCACAACTAGAATAAAAATATCCAGTAAGTGTATTTTACTGTTTAGTAGTACAATACAACCTTATTGACAGTTGAATTTTTGGGAATCGAGCAAAGTTAAAATTACTTACACTTCAACTATGATATCAGGGACACTCACAGGCTGTGGTAACACAGGTTTTTCTTCAGGCTAAAATTGTGTAAAAATTTTGTAATAATGTCCAGACCAGGGATGGATTCACTAGGGGGGGGGGGGGGGGGTAGGTGGGGGAAGGTGGAAGAGGGGAGGGTTGCAAGAGGGCAGATTGAAACCGCTTTCTGAAAAAGGTATCAATTTTCTGCGCGTAATACAAAATGACTGAAAAACGGCAAACTTCGCAGGGCTATATTATCCGCATTTTACAACATTTCGCAACAAAATTAAGTTTATTAGATAATAGGTCTGCCATTGTTACACAATTCATTGACTCACCTCGATATAGGATAGTGCCAAAGCTTTGAAATCAAATTTACTGATCATTTCACCATTATCCAAAGCTAAACGAAAGGAAAAATTGGAGTATTGGAAGAAAACCTGTGCCATTGAGGGAAATCTTGTACTTTTTGTACTGCACTTTACCTGGGAGATCAAAATCCACTTCTCCATCCATTTCATCAGCGATCAACAAACAGTAAGATTTCACATCATCCTGAAAGCAAACCAGGCCATTTTGATCAACAGTTATGTCAAAAAGTACCTGAGGCTCCAGTTTCCTGACCCTACCTAGCTTTTTTGTACCCAGTTTGTGGTGTTAGTTTTGTAGGTCTAGCTATATAAAGAATAGCCTGTTCATTTCAAAGCTGATATAATAATATTCAACCCATTGAATGGCAGCACTTTCCCCTTGGCGAGCAAAATCGTCTGGCTGATGAAAGAGTAAAATAATCAAGTAGGCTGCATCAGGGTGCTTTGCCACTTAAAGGATTAACAAATGTTTGTGCCATCTGTGTTGCTGTAATTGATGTATGTAGAATATCATTCTCATGCATGACAAAGGTATTGTTTTGGCCGTACTATAATGACAACAGTAAAAAACATGTGCATGTGTACTTAGGATACCTTCAGTTTAGGTTTTCTCGCTTCTTCTGTATATTTGAACATGGTTAAACCAATTAAGTCTTGAACACGAGCACCATCAACTAAATAGGTGTATAACAATTGATCCCATTAATTAGCCCAATGAGTCCCAATAGTCTCCCCTTGACAAGTAAAACCGTCTGGCATTGACAGAATAAAATAATAAAGTACAAAGGTACGATACATCAGGGTGCATCGCCTCTTAAAGGGTTAAAAGTTAGAGCTAAGGTCTGTTTATATGATCTTGGCTAGGCGGGACAGATGTCCCACTCGTATGGATGAGGAATTCACTATAATTACAATAAAACAATCTATCCCAGCTTGCCTTATGTATATTGTAAATGCCTTTTCTGCAAAAAATATAATGTCAAGCTGACAAAGTAACATGTCATTCCCAGCTAGATGGGATGAAATGTTCCATCCTGCCTACCCAGGATCATATAAACAGGCTCTTAGCTGATTTCCAAGCAGGCAAGTGCTTACCAATCAAGCAGATATTCATTAGAGGTTGTTGATTCCCTTTTGGCTAAAGTTCACAAAGTAAGAAATATTCAATAAGTAAATTTGCTTGTCTGCCAGTTCATCATATCTGCCTCGTACCCAAGCGCTGGTTTGTCATGACACCATACGGATTGAAACTATTCCCATGCAGCAGCTAGCTCACACAGCAGTGACGCAAACTATACCAGCAGCACAGTGCCTGGGTACGGGGCAGCATCGTTAAATAAAGTACACACGTATATGCCATGTCCATGCACAGAAGAATTTGAAGAGTTGAAATTACATACTGATGGAAAGAAAATCTTAAATAATCGAACTTTATTTGTCCTTGAGTAACCCTAAAAAGGAACAAAAAATTTAGTTTACAACTGATACTCAAGCAAATTTGGGTGCCTACATAAAAAACGTTTGCCAAACCTCGCCATCAAATTTCCCATAATGAGCAAAAGGATTCCTGGGCTGGTTGTGAGAATTTTTAACCAGTAACGTTAATTTCGAGACTGACTTTCCATCCGTCTTTGTTTGGCCATCATGTGCCTTTGCTTGGCCACCATCTGTTAAGTCTTTCTTTGGAAAAAGTTCGAAAAAATCTGTAGCTGTGAAAAATTACATAGTGTATATATAAGTGTGATTTATCATTGCCTAATATTTTATTCAAGGGGAAAGTGATGAAACTATAATTTAATTTAACCTGAAATTGGTTCTGGGTCTTTCCATGGAACACTTTGGCATTTTGCTTCAGCATTTCTGTAAAAAAATTAAAATATTTGCATTATACAATGTCTTTTAATTAATGTGAGCATGACAATACTGTCAATTTAGATGTTCTCAAATTAATTTCTGCAATTAACACATTTTCTACACAACAACTTCAGAAAAACCATCTTTTATTTGAGTTTATTACCTGGGTATTTTTCCTTCCAGAGGTTTTTTCACAGAATTCCCGTGTCCAGATCCCATTGGACTGACCTCGATGTCGAACGAATTTGAATATGCAAAGTCTGCATTATCCCTAAGAAAAATGTAATCGTGGTTTAATCTCAAACCTGCGGGGTCAAAACTATAGCTGTAGTATTTCTCAATAAAGTGTTGAGGTTTTGGTCTGAACAGCCTGAAAAAAGTATTTTGAAAACATTAATATTTTCAGCAAAGCCTGTCCATCTGCCGTGGAAGGATTTTTTCCCGGACTCTCAGGTGCTGTAGTTAAGATCAAAACCTCGATAGTTTATCAAGTGATCATATTTTTGTGCATGTCAATATGTAAGTCATTGTATAATGTCTACCATTTGCATACCTAAACTTTCGTCTTTGTAGTAATTTTTCATTTTCTGTTTCTTCATTTACAATGACAATTTCACTCATCCCTTTAATTAAAACAGACATTCGCATCATATAGTTATTGATTATATATGCTGGGTATTTAATTCAATAATGGCTTCACTTCAAAAATTAGGTGTAAGCCTTTGTCAAGCTTTTACATTCTTGTTACAAACATTAATAAACCCAATAAGTTGCATTGTACCCTGATGCACCCTACTTTATTCTAACGCCAGATTATTTTACTCTGTCTAATGACAAACAATTTTACATCAAGAGGAGAGCACTGGTGCTCAATGGTCAATGGGTTAATCAAACCATGTGTTCATGTGTCCAGTTGACGCATTAAGATGTGTCGTGCCCAAATTACTCATCAAGGGGGAGCACTGGCGCTCAAAGGTTAAAAATGTTTTTTGTTTTTAATGTTTCTTCTTAGGGTTAGAAATTTTTTATCCGCAATTGTTTATCTTAGATTCAAACAATGGTATGAAAATTCCATATAATTTATTTCTTTGTATTAAATGACAGCCAGGCAGGCCTAGCCTAACTCCCGAAAGCCTGTTTTTCACCAGGCGAACCTGTCTGCTCCAGGCGACTTTTCCTTTGGCATCACTTTAGCTGAAGTGATAAGCGATACCGACAAAGGAAAAAGTCGCTTCTCGTGAACATATTTGCCTAGTGGAAAACAGGCTTAATTAAATTAACTATGCCACACCCTAGTTAGCAATAATTATAAACAACTCTTGAATTTATTAAGCTTGTCAAATTCTTTCAAACATGTGCTTCATAACAATATCAACCACTTTTCTTATATTGTATATATCATATTTTCAAACTATGCAGTACAATATGATTGTATACTAGCTTGTATTTATATTTTTACATTGTATTTATACATACTGGTCCTGCTGTGACAACGCTTTCGCCCCAAACAAAAGCAAATCACGCAGTACTACAAAACTATGGCAAAAATTCCACCACAAATACAAGGTTTAGTATACCCATACTTTTCTAATCATTGCAGCTAAGCAGGGCTGAACAAATGAAGTTTTCACGGTGGTTTTAGCCGCACTCAAAGTAAAGTAAACAATTCAGTATTTAGAAAACCAGATTTGAGATTTATCGATAAGATTTGAGTAGTATCAAATTCGCTATTAAAGTTTGAATCAAATCGAAACATGAAAATCAAAAATTATTTTTTATCCCTTCCACTACATTCTCTAGATGTTATTACAGTAACTAATCCATGTGCTAAGACAATTTAGACAATGATTCTAAATTTCAACAATGACATTTCAAAAGATCTAGAGAGGTACTTTACGATCGAACTGATAAGCACGTACAATATTTGTTTAAAAAATCGCTAGCCTTGCGTAAAAAAACGGGGCTTGAGATAAAAGAGGAACTGTTAGGAGTATATATTTCTAAAAATTTACCCGTATCATCGCTTGTCACACACGAATGTCTGATCTGTGAAATCACAAACTGGGCATTATCCATAAATGCCATTTGTGTCTGGTCATTTAAGCCTGCTTTTAGGCTTAGTTATTTACGTGAATGATTTGTCATATTCCCTTGATGTTTCTCTACATTTCCTCTGGGACCACATGTCCATAAACAGGCAGGAAAATCTGAGATCACACCATTATTCAAGCGTAAAATCGATGTGTTACGATGTTATCGTCTGAAACTCAACAAATATGTAAATTTAAAATTTCCATCTTGGAAAAATATGTTGTAATGTTGTCTTTGCCCCAGACCCCCCACTTGTGGCCACGACCTGGGTCACTGACCGAAGTGTGACTGGACTGAATCGACACGGAATTACCGATCGGAGATACCCTTGCGATTGGCTAGAAATCCGTTCCAATGGCTTGTTATGATTGGCTATATCTGGGCAGCAGTTGGTAAGTCGGTGGAAGGTATCTAGATTGGCTAATAGACTAATAGAGGTCGAAAACAACTCTGATAATTGATTAAAAATTACTTTGCGATTGTTAGAACATTTTTAAAAGGCAAACAAACTTTTGCATCTGATTCATCTAAATTATATACAGATTACTTTACTCAATATATAAACACTAGGGAGGTGGTTATTCCAGCGGATAGTAAATTTTCCAAGCTTTCAAGTTTCAAATATTTTATTTCCTTGTACCTATAGCCTCATATATGTTGCTCTAGATGCTTTAGACTGGAAGCATGCACTTAAAACGGAAAGAATAAAGGCTAAGACTCAAAGTCCAAACTGATGTTTAAATTGTTGAATAAAATGGGTCCTAAATCACTTACTGATTTATTTACTTTCAAAAGTGAAGTGACAAATTATAAACTTCGAGATGTTGAAAGTACTCTTTGCTTACCACAGCCGCGTACAATTAGCTTGAAAAAAAGTTTCATGTTTGACGGAGCACACATTTGGAATTCTTTACCAACAGAAATTAGAGAGAGCAACTCCATCATGTCCTTTGAAACTAAAATCGCTACTCACATGTTTGAATACTCACATTTTTGAATAGCATTATTATTCTTATACCTATATATATATATTTCTTACTGTATGTAATATCTTACTATATACTATTTCTTTGTAATGTTATTATTGTACACGCCCTTTGTGGAAATCAGCCTAGGTTGACAATGGTTAGCGTGTTTAAATAAAAAGTTCTATCTATCTATCTATATATTAATAGTCAACAGTTCTCAATTCTGAAGTCTGACCATTATCTACTCCCCCGTAACAGCCACTGCATGATTAATGTATTTAAATGCGGAATTTCTCAAGTGCCATTGACTCCTATGAAAGTCTTGCCTTCACATGTGATACTAAAAGCAAGGACACTTAAAACAGGTACAAAGCTTGATCCTTGAAAGTCCTTAAATTTACAAATTCCATGAATTCTTTTTTTTGGAATATTTTCTGAAACTTGTCGGTTTATTAGTATTTTGTGCCTAGAACATTACATGATAATAATACCTTTCTGATTAACTCGTAAACTCTCATCAAAATTTGAACTCTCCGGGTCAAAGTTGGTGGGCGACTATTACAGGTGAATAATTTGCGGTCCAAACGCTGGCAAGAGTTGCAACCAGCTAGGCACTATATAAGCGCCTTGCTTGCGATACTCATCCTCGTTAATTTGACCAATTAGACTTCAGAGTTTAGTCGCTTTTATATATATGCCTTTAGCATGTTGTAGGCTCATTTACTACTACTTGGGTAAATAAACTGAGTTCAGTTATTCAAAAAGATAATGTTTCTGAGTTTCTTTAAATTTGTATTTCACCGTCGTTGACGCACATTTAATGGACAAATTTAGATCGAGGACGCACGTCAAACGTCAAAGACGACGTGAAATGGCGTAAAAATGGCGCGGCATATCCACACATGGGCACAACACGCCATTTTCACGTCGTCTTTGACGTCCGCGTCCTCGATCTAAATCTGTCTAATATAGTAAACTGTTGTACTTAAGGGCCTCCACTCAAAACATCGAAGTTTTCTGCTTATATCTTTCAGGTAGTTGTATCCCTATCAATCCACAATTGTCTTCGGTTATCGTCACCTTAGCACCCTGAGAGTCAATTCCGACATGAGCCGAAGGCCCTTCCTATCATACAACTTTATGAATAGAACCCTTCACAGTAAGTATCGAAACCGGAAACAAATTTTTCCAATACAATTTATCTTTTTTCCTTCCTTGTTTCGTAGGCGGAGAATTGAGTATAGCAAATGTGAAATGTTTACGCTTAGAAATTACTATGTCTATGACGCCAGTCCTGGTGACGCCACTATACGAGACACACCATGTATGTCCTATGATTAAACTGCGAAGGTACTGTGTCATCGTCACGCGGCTCATGCCTGTTTCATACTGCCCACTACTATAGCGGCTTCAAAATAGCTTCCCACACAAATGACATAACCACACAAGCCAGCAGTATACAATGGATCATACCCTATAATTATAGTCAATATAGAAAGCCAAATTAAATTTCGATTGTCTTGGAAAATTATATTTTTCGCTGTAGGGTAAAAATTCCTAAACTTATCGTGGGTGGTTGTTTCAACTTAGTCAGACTCCCTTTTTCATTATGTACACCAACCTCGTAACACCTTCGAAATATTGCAGGATTTTTACAATGGTAGAGCATATATAATAGTTTTGCAAGGCGGGAAGACAGAACTGATGCGCATGTTAGCGCAGTACTATAGCCCAGATGAAACGACAATCAGACTTATCGTGGGTGGTTGTTTCAACTTAGTCAGACTCCCTTTTTCACACCAACCTCATAACACCCTCGAAATATTGCAGGATTTTTACAATGGTAGAGCATATATAATAGTTTTGCAAGGCGGGAAGACAGAACTGATGCGCATGTTAGCGCAGTATATAGCCCAGAGGAAACGACAATCAGACTGCCAAATCTCTCGACTGTGAACTGGTTCAAATTTCATTTGATGAGGTCTGATGAGAGTCGATGTTTATCAGAGTTCTTCTACTTCTTCCTCGTTCTACTGGTCATATTCAGTCACTACTCCCATCAACTCGCATGCAACTCTTGTTCTCGTCTACAATGCGCAAACAGCCGTATATCTCTTTCTTTTGTCATTCGACATTATTATATGTTTTCTACATTTCATTCCCTAACAGTCAAAGATAATTAACGGTTTTTAATCCTGGATTAGGCCATAATGCATAGCAATTTTAAGATGACGGCATTTTTGTCGGAATGGTACATAAAATAAAAAAAAAATCCGAAGGATCAAGATCATGACAGGAAATCGCACGGAAATCAATCACGAATCACACGGGTGGACTCGCGCGCGTGTCTTGAGGGCGTACGTGCGTGGGTTTCTTCCACGAATGAAATATGGGAAGTGCCAATCGAGTGAAGTGACTTCATTTTCAAATACCTCGATGCGTTTAATATCCAGTGAACTTTGCTCGTAATATTTCAATTATTGATTCATTACATGTCTTAGGTTACGGTAAAGTGGCGGCAAGAGGTTGAAGCTAGGAAACATGGGTTTTATCCGAGTGAAACTTATCGAGGTCGAACAGGCTGCCGAGTGGAAAGTTAGCTCGAGTGGAGCTTTCGATCCTTACTGTGCTATACACATAAAAGAAGCTGTACAAACGCCGGGTCAAGGCGTACAACTCGTCCAAAAGAAAAGAACAATCTACCCGGAATGGAACAAATGCTTCGACACGCATTTATACCCAGGAAGAGTAATTTCGGTTGTTGTGATGGAAAAACCGAACGTATACCGAGGCGATACAACTATAGGGGTTCAATTTTTGGTGGACCAGTGTAAAAAAGATGGCTTTTCAAGCCTGTGGGTGAGTGTTTTGTCTACATATTTTTGCAACCATACACGGCAAAGCGGAAGTATGAACTCTTGTGATTTAACGTGTTCTTATGGGCTTTTAAAAGGGATTTATCCGCAGAAAGCATTCGTAAATATGAGCACTGATTTTTGTCAACATTTGAATAGATCTCGCGAGATATTGCAGTTTGTAATGTGCGTTAAAACGGCGGTTAATGCTTGTGTTTGTTGTTCAATAGCGATATTAATTATGCAAAAATTTAAGGAAAGAATCGTTTATAAAGACTCCTTCACATAATGGAATATTTTTAAGTTTTGAGAGGGCATTTATGCAGTAATAGAAATTTTATACCAACTGTGCCGAGTTTCGCAGCTGACAATAAACAATAGTTCCATTTCATAATTAATCGGAAAACCGAAGATTGGAAACGTAATTGGAATTTCTTCCAAGTATAAACAAAGTGAAATTTGATTCCATAAAAAATCAGCGAGAAAATAGATTTGCTTGTAAACTCAGGCTTATAAGTAGATTTTAAAGAGTGTTAAATTTAAATGTATTGCTTTGTCAGTTTTATAGTGTGAAAAATGTCAATAGATATATTTTTGTAATTATTTGTTTTTTAAATATTTTATTTACATAATTGAAACTTTGTTTATAGGTTATCTGGCTAGCTGAGCATTTTGCATTGAATAGTATTTTTGAGTATTAATATTCATCATTTAATGTATCAATTTTACCTTTAATTGAAACTTGCCCAGAAATAAACTAAAAATTTTGATTGCAATCAATTTAGATTAAAAAACTTTCTCCTTGACAACTAAGGCCATGTTTACACTATAACACAATGACTAGCATTCCGTTAAAAATTCACTATGTTTCGTAGTATTGTAAACACTATAACAGAACGGTTTTGCCGTAGCGTACCAACTACGGACCACTACATTTGGCACTCTGGATGCAAATCAATATGCTACGTAACGGTAAATTGCTGAAGTGTTATAGCGCCTAAAAAAATGCATGTGGTTCCGGTTTCATATCATGAAAAAATTAGGGTCAGTAGGTCGGAAATAAATTTTGTCTTGAATATTTTTTCATGGTTTTGGCGTTTTTTACTGGGCGATTTTCAGTAGAGTCCGAACATCAATATTAACTATCTAGAGATACATATTTCCTATGGACGAATTGAGGCAATTATTTGGTTCAATAATCAGTGTGACACCATTTTGGCACACTGTATGAGCAGCCCACAACAATCTGGAGAAAATAGGGTCACACAGTCAATTGTGTTGAGTCAGCAGAAAAAAATAGTGTCGGCAGAAAAAAATAGGGTCAGTCGGTCAGGTTTTTAGGCCTAGTGTAAACTCGGCCTAAGATTTTCTGGTATATAGGCATGGTAAAAAGAACAAAGCTCAACACATTACAACTTAATAGATTAAAGCATTTCTAATTTATAATCTCCTGTTTCAGCTGGACCTTAGCCCATGTGGTCGTCTTCTAGTTCAAGTTAGACACTTTGCTGAGGCAGCAGGTTTGTGTCTGATCCTCTGATTCTAGTGTAGTTAAAGTAGTGTAGTTAGTCTTCCTTCACCGCAAATTTAACATTACAACAGAAAATTTACTGTTTACTTTAAATTTTCAACCATTTTTCAGAGGATGCATCAAAAGGTTTTGAAGGTCCTGTCAACAAGAGCGGCCTTACAGGCGGACGACGTGGTGCCATAAGGAAACAGAAAGTTCACGAAGTTCGGGGACATAAATTTGTGGCACGATTTTTTAGACAGTTCGTTTTTTGTTCTATATGCAAAGACTTTTTATGGTGAGATATAATTGGGCTTCAAAAATGTTGTTAATATTCTATATAATAGGTGTTTTGATTTTCAACATATTGTTAGTTGATTCCAAAAATGTAATTTCTAGGTCACATTTAAATAAAATTGTTTATTGTTTAATTTCAGGGGATTAAACAAGCAAGGTTATCAATGCCAAGGTATGTAAAATAATGTGCAATGTACTTGTTTAGGCCATGTTAGCATTTTTACACTATAATGCTACAGGAAATTTATTGTAGCGTATTGATTTAGTAGGCTATGGCAAACCACTCTGTTATAGTGTAAACACAATAGACCCATTGCACTGATGTCACAAATCCTTGGAGTGTCCTCCAGATGCTCCCTAACAATATCTGTTCGGGTACAACAACCACATACAGCGCAAAAATTAACCATCTTAATACAAAATTATTATAAACTTTTACAAAATTTGCTTTGTTTACAAAAATTATATTATGCATAGATTGCTAATTTGTCCTCCAGATGCATCCTCACCGGCGCTATGACGTCATGTGCAATGGGTCTATACTAAGAAACACAGCATTTGATAATTATCTACTTGTCAATTTATTATTTGTACCATAATATTTCTAGTGTGTACATGTGTGGTCCACAAAAGATGCCACAATCAAGTACTGAGTACTTGTCCAGGATCCACAGATGCTAACGAAACTAAGGTGAGCTGAGCAAGTTAATTACATTTTTTAATTAATCATTACACCCTTCCGGAAAATATATCACTTTGACTATAGAGTCTCGTTTTTGTGATTGAAACATTAGGCTTTATCTATTGACACATACACAAAATCGAGGCTCTATAGCCAACATATGACATACTTTCCGAAAAGGTGTATTACATTGGTTGCCAGAATTTTGACAAACACAATTACTGTATAGGCAGATTTTCTGGTGTTTGCAAGGGGGCGGAGTTTACCCCCAGGAAAGCATATATAAAATTTTCATAATTTTTTACATCATTTCTATTGGAGAAACACTCCATAGAAAGTCTGAATCCTGTTAAAGTCAAAACTCAAAAATGCCCCCTGGAAAAGCCTATATATTCCCATGGAAAATCTGCACTCCTACCCCTGAAAATCTGCACCCCAGTAAATCTACAGCTGAAAAATTCCCCTATTAGTATTGGCCCCATGCTGAATTTCAATTTCATTTCATGTCAAAATTCAATGTTTATATCACAGAAACTGAAGGAAAGATTCAAGATCGATATTCCTCACAGATTCAAAGTGACAACATATTTAAGTCCTACTTTCTGTGACCACTGTGGCTCCATGCTATATGGATTATTTAGACAGGGATTAAAATGTGAAGGTACGTGTAAGTGATTGTACAATATGTTTCTATCGGTGGCTTTCTGAAAGCTTGCGGGGCAGCACCACAACATCAGTGGCAGACACTTAGATTGCCGCTATATGACCATCTTTTGCAGCTGGAAATCTTACGCCCGTATTCTAAAAGCTCACTCACACTCAATGAGTGGAGGTTCAATCTGAGCTTCTCTTGAGCGCCAATGCTGTTTTTGAATAGCTGGAGGGTAAGTGTTGTACCTAACTATGTGACTACTCACCCTCCAGCTATTCAAAAACACTCAAAAGAAGCTCAGATTGAACCTCCACTCATTGAGTGTGAGTGAGCTTTTAGAATATGGGCGATAGTTCTTTAAATTTTATTGCCTTGAGTTTCCAGCACTACCATATACACAGGTAGTTTAATTTATAGCCTACCATGCTTTCATGGTTGAAAAGTTATTACAAAGCTATCATTCTAAGGTTTTCAGATTTTTTGGGTGGAAAGGGGGGAGGGTGGTTGCCTGCCATTGCCCCACCTTGCTAGTGTGCACCACTGCATAGCATATCCTATGGTGGGCAGCTTCCCATTGCTCATTCATTTTCTCACCAGACTGATCAGTTCAGAAAACTAAGAATTAAGACAAATACCTCCCCCCCATCCCCTATTTCGTTATCTCACTCTGTTTAACATCAAACGATTTTACTCACCAAGAAAAAAGTGTACAAAGTAAACTACAATGACTTGTTTTTTCACTTAGCATGTGGTATGAACTGTCATCACAAATGTCAAAAACATGTTGCGAATTTATGTGGAATCAATCAAAAAGCATTCGCAGAAGCTCTTGGACAAGCTAACGTAAGCCATTTCAATTATTTATCAATGATCACTCTGTTGTGTTTAACACACACAAATTATCAAACGAACTAGGTTTCTTTGTCCAAGTCAGGGATTGACACAAACACTTTTCTACTATACGGTAGTAAAAACTCAATCTTCAATGGAGACTGGAGTTTCTCAATCTTGCTTTGTATTTTTCAAAATATACTGGGAAGAAATTTTTGCAAATGTGAATAATTTATTGTAAGTGTTTTAAAACGGTCATTCATGTTTTAAAATGGTTATATTTTTTAATCAAAAGTGCTGTCTGAATGTGGGAAAGGTTATTTCGTAGAGACAAAGTAAAGAATTCTCCGGGGATGAAGGGTTTTGGTGGAAGTGGGGGAGTTCTCTTCTACTAAAACTTAACCTTCTGCCGAAACAAATGCTTGTATAATCGTCTTTCGTTGGTATAAAATAGTCCCAATCTTCTCGTTCTCACAGGCTGACAAGCAACGACGTCTTAGTCAATTGCCGCCATCACCTACTCACGAATCATCAGCACCGTCAGTCGCGAGTTTCCAAGACGAGAACCTGGAGAAACATTACGAAAAGATTGCTGATGAATATGAAGAAATGTGGCAGGCTGAAGCCCCCCGACCTCCTCCACGCACGAGCAGTGTTAGCAAGTCTATGAAGAAATATTCACTGAACGATTTCACTTTCCTTAAAGTCCTTGGGAAAGGGAGTTTTGGCAAGGTGATCACTTGTCTTTTCTAACAAAAACATAGATTGTGTTCCTGACTAACCTAGCTATGTCCCAGCCCAATATCTGATCTATCAAGCAGGATAGGAAAAAAGAATTTTCTTTCTGGGGCACAAACTGGAGACAAAAATTACCAACGGAGTAGTTTTGTGCTAAATCTGCATGTGCATAATAAACATATAGTGTTCTAGCTGACCGTGGTTTTAAATTTAAGGAATAATATCTGTCAACCATATGTTGTTGTGCCCATAGTGGGACATGGGTGTTAAGGTTTCCTTCAAATTTTCAATGGCAAATCTTCATTCGAATGAATTTCCTGCAGCTGTTTAACATTTCCTATGAACAGTGTTGCGTGCTCGCCTCTTTTTTCCACCCCCGCAGTATCAGGTACCAATGTCTGTTCTTGCACTAGGTGTTGCTATCGGAATTAAAAAGCAACGGTCAGGTGTACGCTATCAAAGCATTGAAGAAAGACGTAGTTTTAGAAGATGACGATGTGGAATGTACGATGATTGAAAGACGAGTTCTGAGTATTGCAAGTCGACATCCATTCTTAACTGCCATCATTTGTGCTTTTCAATCCAAGGTACGAATCGAGTAGTCGACCTTGTACCCAAGTTTTATGCTGGAATCTTGAACTGTTTACGCCAGTCTAGGTAGTGCCAATCAAATGAACAAGCTTTCGTTGGTAGGATCATAGATATCTTATATAAACTAGATAGCGCATCTCTTTTAGTAAAATTGAAGCCAAGAATATTCCAGCGGTTACCCCCATTTGAATAGATGGCGGCCATGTTGGAGTTTCCCACTCGCTAATAGACGCTTAATAAACAACAATAACTTTCATCATTTGAATAGTTTGAAAATTATTTGGAATAGGTTTAACTTAATGTTTAAGTTCCCTGTTTAAGAAATAGAAAACATACGAGTCTTCTCATTCATGGGAATATCCTGAGAGTCTGCAATCATGGGAGTCTGCAGTGACGGCTTCAATTTTTGAATTGCAGAATAATTAGATGCACTATCTAGTGTATATAAGATATCTATGGTAGGGTGCAACTACCTGAAAAATATAAGGAGAAGCGAAGAAGAAAACGAAGGGGAAGACGTTTCGATCGAAGGCCCTTCCTTTGGAGTTCCTAGACCAGACTTGTCCAGACGAAGGGCCTTCGCTCGAACGTCGTAATTCCTCATAAATTTTTCTGGTAGTTGCACCCTTAGTACCAACGAAAGCTTGTTATGCTATAATACCTTCAGCGAGCTATGATTTATTCTGCCGCTAATAAACATTACATAATTATGTTTACAATCGTACTACTTACATTTGATAAAACAGACAAATGTGCATGGTCACTAATAACTTATTATTAACATTGACAACAATTTAGAAAGCTTATTCAATATTTAAGGGAGAGAAATACTTTCAGTTTCTTTCTAAATGAAACTAGGGAAATAGGAGCCATTTTTGAAAAAGTTTAGCTGTCTTCATATATAGTTGGATAGGATCACATTTTATAAAATAATTTAGTACCGCATTGGCTGAAAGCCACGATGCAGTGATCAGAACAAAACAACTCCGAGGTCGTATAGGTTTCATTTTCCTTTCGAGTTCAAAGACATTCTTGGAAAAAGTCAGTCAACATCCTGTGGAAAGTCGTGTGTGTGTTTTCTCTGGGTAATCTGATTTCCTTTTCCGGGGAATTTCGAAAGAGTGGTTTAGGAAACGTAAAACTAAATTCACGATTACGTCAGCATTAGCTGCGATTAAGGCGTGCAAATTAATATCAACGAAATTCTTTGTTGCAGGAGCATTTATTCTTCGTCATGGAATACGTGAATGGAGGTGATTTAATGTTCCATATTCAAGCTGCGGGCAAATTTGATGACTATCGTTCATGGTATGTACGCTTTACGTTCAAAATTACCAACGATGTGGAACTATTTTGTGTATATCGTGCATTTGATTGTCCCTCTTAACAGACTTTTGTTGTATATTTTGTAGTTTTTATACTGCTGAAATCGTATGTGGCTTGGAGTTTCTACACAGTCTTGGAATTATATATAGGTTCGTTTTAAAATACAAGCAACATATGTTGCGCATTATTTATTGGGGGGGGAGGGTGACACCGAAGAAAAATGTTTTTCTTGTTTTTTCTGATCCAAACATTGAAATGAAAACAAATGTTTACCCAACCTCAAATATCAATTAAAAAACAAATATCAATTAAAAAATAAATACCCACTCCTGGCCAAAAACATTACAAATATTCTTTACCACTTCTGTAACATGAGTTTGATAGCTGTTTGTGCAATTTTCTGGGATTTTCCTGCAGTCTAAAGTTCCATGTTGTCTGCACATGTACTTTCTTTGGAGACTCCTTTTACTTCCTGACAAATCGGAAAGTGATCAAGATAGTGACTCTGATTGAGTTATTACGTATTGTGTTGACATATGACTGTTGACAGTGCTTTTTAGTCTTCAATATATGAGTGGGTCATGCTCTGGGAATGACAATACATTCTTATTACCCAACCCTTGAATTTTTTGTTTGTCATTTACATTTACCCAACCTTTTACACTATTTTGTTTACTCAACCCTGTTCTCTTTGGTTCCACCCCCCCCCCCTCCCCCCGTCATAAATAATGATCGATCTCTTAATGGCATATGGGTTATTACTAAAACAAAGACCAGAGTTTAGATTTGTTTTCTAAAAAAGTAAAAGCAAAATTTCCCATTTCTAAATTGTAGAGATTTAAAGTTAGACAACGTGCTCATGGACTCAAAGGGTCACATAAAGATCGCGGATTTTGGAATGTGTAAGGAGAAAATTCTTGATGACGCGAAAACCTCGACGTTCTGTGGAACGCCTGATTATATTGCGCCAGAGGTAAGCCTTGCTCTTTGCAAACTATTGTAAGCCTCGGTCAAACTCACCTATTTCGGGCTAGCCTGCACGGCGGACTGGAAGCAGGCTAGGGTTGAACAACGATAAGAGTTTCAACTAATGAGAGTTTTTGCTACTTGCGTGAGTCAACTCTCATTCAACTGTCATCCTCGTATCACCAAGGCTTTTCAAGCTTGACGTGTGCAGTTTACTACCAAGACTACCCCTCACAGGAAAGCATTTGTTTTAGATTCTTAAAGGTCAGAAGTATGACTCTTCAGTAGACTGGTGGTCACTTGGTGTGTTACTCTATGAAATGTTGATTGGCCAGGTTAGTTTCGTTCATGTTTAAGGACTATAAAAATTCAGTTATCCAAGCATGGGCAAGGCAATTGCGTCCAAGACTGATTTATTCTCATTTTTTTAGTCACCATTTGCTGGCGAAGATGAGGAAGATTTATTTGACTCAATATGTCGTGATAAAGTTCACTATCCAAAATGGGTGTCGCAAAGTGCCGTCTCTTGTATGGTGCAGGTAAGATGCATAGTGTTCTGTTGTGTATTCGTATGTAACTTCGGACGACATCGTACTGACCTCGGGCGACTTCGGGAGACTTCGTAATGACCTCGCGATTACTTCGTAAGGTCGAGTTCGCTCCTCAAATTTCCATCAAAAGACCATCGGTCAAAATGTTTCAGTTATTCGTAGAGATGGTAAAGTATGCAGTCACAGTACCAGTGCGCACCTTCAACATTTTCTCGCATAAAATTTTAAAGCTTGCGCATGCGTGTAGCACGTCTTCAGTTAAAAAACACATACACTATAAACCATCAACTCATAATATCTGAAATTTACGACGCTTAAATTATCTGAGAAGGAAGCCGACGTGAATGTCTGAAAATCGTAAGCAAAAGCAATAATGTGCTATGAATGTTTTCAGTTATTGGAACGTAACATAGGCGAGAGGCTTGGCTACAAAGCCGGCAAGAACGGGGATATACGAAGACATGAATTTTTCGCGAAACTTAACTGGAGACAATTAGAAGCAAGAAGAATCGAAGCTCCATTTAAACCAAAGATAGTAAGTAACTTTTGAACATTTGTTGCTTTTTTTGTGTTTGTTAAGTGTACTTCACATTCAACCAAGTATTGCAAGTGTATTGGAATATCTCGGATAACGTCAGTGAACATTTGCATATAAAAAATTGCTTCTCACACACCGCTGGGAGCTGCTGCAGCGTCAGCCGCAAGTTTGACATTTATTAAACTACCATACGTTACAATTGCTCGCTACATAATTACTATAACAAGTATATATACCCAGTGCAAAACCGTTATGTTCCACTACTCTCTAATAATAAACATAAAAGGGCTGGGTGGGTGGGATACTGTCAAGCCATGCTGAGCAACAACGAAAATATGCTCAACTAACCTGCACCACCCTGAACACCCTGATTTCATCAGGCCCTCAGCAGTGTGTGAGAAAACATTTTCCGCTTCTTTCGTGCCTCAGCCAGCGGAAAATAACACTTATTTTTATTATTATCATGTGTAACTAGATTTGAATCTTTCGCAATTAGCTATCAGCGTTAGCTGGTTATAACTGTTTGGCTGATACGATTTTACTTGTGAAATACAAGCACATGAAAGTCTCGGGTGCATACAACTACACATGTAAAAATCTCACAACTTGTCAACAAGACGCGTTCGCAATAGCCCTGTAGCAAGCTTGTCAACAAGTCGCAACAATGCTGTCATTTTATCAAGTTGCTGCAAGGTTGTCACTCGCAACGTGTTGACAAGTTGTCGAATGGCAGGACGAGAACAAGGTGTTGGAACAACTTGTAACAAGTCTGTTGAGCTCAACAATTTTGTAGCAAGTTGTCAACAAGCCGTTGACAACTTGTCAACAAGCTGGGAATAAGCAATGCGAACACATCTTGTTGACAAGTTGTTGGAACAGCATTTGCACAAGTCTGCTGCAGGTTTGTTACAACTTGTGCGTTTTTACGCGTGTACCTGAAAAATGCAAGGAGAGTTTCTCCTGAAAATACAAGGAGATGTTCTCGTTTTATTTTTTAGGTAGTTGTATTCCTACCTACACTGCCACGCACCGTTCCACAATTGTTTAACCTTAGTTGAATAAGGCCTGTTCACAGGTGTTTTATCGAACCGACTCGACCTCGTAGCTCAGTTGTCAGAGAATTGGATTAGCATCCCAGAGGTCGCGGGTTTGATTCCCACCTTGGTCAGAGAAACATTTCAGCTTGCCCTGTGTGGATATATACTCAGAGTAATAACATCACAAACATCATATTCACTGCGTACATAACACGAACACACACCGCAAAAAAATAGATGGTAAACAAGTTAGTGCGAATGTTAAACTTGTCAGTTCAAAGTTTCCATCGCTTTATATATCTCTAACTTTTTTTTCTCAGCGTTCACCGCGAGATGTTGAAAACTTCGATTCAGACTTCACGACCGAAGCGCCAAAACTGACGCCAACAGACAAAGCATTGCTGGCATCCATCGACCAAACTCAATTCAAAGGATTTTCTTACGTCAATCAAAGTTTTAACCGTGATCTATCTTAGTGTGTATAAAGGACTAGGGACTATCTGCTGCTGACATTTTCCCCAATTCGAAGGGTGAATTACTCCGAAAATCCCCGTACACATTTTTGTAAAAAAACATTCGAGAAATCGATATCCTGCCAAAAAAATTGAAAGCCCTAAAATCCCAAAACTTAAATCCCACAATTTTGCTCAAAATCTCTTGCAAAATCTCTTTCAAAGTCCTAACATCTTGCCAAAATATCCTTTAAAATCCGCTGAAAACTCGCAAAAAACCCTCCAAATCCCTGGGTATTTTTGCAAGGATTTTGAAATCCCAAATTAAAATCCTCGTACGCCTTTTTTAGAATAATACACCCCTCGCTTTTAACTATAATTCGTTCAATGATTTTTTGGGCCGCAAGCACGATGGTTTGTCATATTTATTAGACATTGCCTAAACTCATTGTACATGAAGTGTGACATGTATATTTATAAAATGTCGTTTGTGTAATACTACGCGAGCGGCAAGTTCTACTTATGCTTCAGTGAAGCCAGGTGTTGGATAGGTGACATAGGATCTCAGTCCGCTGCGCGAGGTCTTTCAGGACGAACTACTGATCTATAAAAACTAGGAGTGGGTTAAGCATCCTTTTGAATGCCAGAATATTTCTAATGGCCTACTCTCAAACCGACAGAGCCTGGGTACGAGTCCCTAAATATGGAGATAAACAACAGGAAGAGCACATTGACTTTTACAAAATCTCAAAGTTTGATGTTAGTCTGCTCAATACTGTCAAGATACAGCCATTCAAAACTGACAAAAAAAATACTGAGAAATGTATGGGTTTATCCGGAAATTTGTCCGGACGACCAAACATTTCTTAGTGGATGCACTATCCAGTTTGTAGGTTTTAGATCAGTGGGGCAAACAGAACATAAAAAATTAAGTAAGCGACTCCCATATATAGACCCATTGCACTGACGTCACAAATCCTTAGAGTGTCCTCCAGATGCTCCCTAATAATATCTATTCGGGTACAACAACCACATACACCGCAAAAATTGACCATTTTAATACAAAATTATTATAAAGTTCTACAAAATTTGCTTTGTTTACAAAAGTTATATTATGCATAGATTGCTAATTTGTCCTCCAGATGCATCGTCACCGGCGCTGTGACGTCATGTGCAATGGGTCTATTGAGTTGCCTCGTTCTTTACGAGATTTATACTAGACGGGGCAGTCATGTGTTGGGGGTCATATGTTTCCATTGATTCTATATAAAAGAGACTGATTTTATGAACAAGATTTTTATACAGCTTTCTATATGTAAAGACATGATTATAGACGTATTTGCTTGCATTAGCTAGCTATATTGTTTCAGATTTATGCATGAATTTGCTTTTTATCACAGAAGCGAAATAAATAGTTAACCAATTGATGTTTATGTCTTGGGCCAGTAAATGAGAAATATTAAATTTAATCTAATCTACCAAAAGGCAAATTGAGGTAAATGCAGACCCAATAACTGCGTTTCACTCATGCATGCATCCTTTCAAAATATCCATGTTTTTCATAAATGAGAATATTAAATTTAATATAATTTATCAAAAGGCAAATGCAGACCCAATAACTGCGTTTCACTCATGCATGCATCCTTTCAAAATATCCATGTTTTTCATAAATGAGAATATTAAATTTAATATAATTTATGAAAAGGCAAATGCAGACCCAATAACTGCGTTTTACTCATGCATGCATCCTTTCAAAATATCCATGTTTTTCATAAATGAGAATATTAAATTTAATATAATTTATCAAAAGGCAAATGCAGACCCAATAACTGCGTTTCACTCATGCAT